TAGACGCGATAAGTCGAACCCAGAAGTTCGATCGCTCGCCGCCGAACTACCGGGTAAGTGTAGCCAAGGCCTAATTCAGCGCGCCATCTCTTTTCTAACCTCGCTGCTTTTGTCTGGTGCACTAGATCTCACCAAGATTTCCCAAATAAACCTCATCTGAAGGTTCTCTCTCAGATGCACCAATAAGCATTAGAACTGTGTTTATAGTAGCATCCAATTTTTCTGCGTCTCACCTTTTTAAAGCAGCAGGTTCAAATGACATGTCCTGTCCACATTAGGGCTCCCCTCATTGACCCAGTTCAGCAAGGTCCTTAAGCATGTGCATAACTTTAATCATAAAGTTGCCCTATTGACTTTAATGGTTGAAGTTATGCATGTGCTAAAGTACCTTATTGAATCAGGCCTGTTGGTACCACTGGTGGTGAAGCTGAACTGATGGTAGGAATGGTAGGAAATCTGAGCTATCATTTTGTTTTTGTGGGGGATATTTTGACTTTTATAAAATAACAATCTGGCCTTTGATTTTAATGATATTTGCTTCCCCTCTCTGAAGTTCACCTACTTCTCCACGTTAATCAGTGGAATTCCTTTGGATTAAATGTCATACTATTTCTTAGACTCTGTCTAAACACAGAAGTCGCACCAGTCTAACTAGATTGCTTTTTAAGCCAATTAATGAAGCTGGTGCAAACCCCTGAGTAGCTGCTATTTTGATTTCACAGTGACTTATTTTGCTTAAGTTTAAAACTGTTCCTAGTCAATGTAAACTAAACCAGCTACGCCTAATTTAAACTGAAATAGGAGTGTCTACAGAGGTACTTGTACTGTTTTAACTAAATCAGTTTTGAGTCATGCTGTTAGTTTCCCCTACGGTACCTTGAAACTGTAGGAGAAACAGAACCAAGAATATGTCTTTATAAAACAGAGGTTGAATGGATGCTTTAAGTGCAAAAGTCAATGCAACCTTAACAGGAGTTCCTACCTGCTACCACAATACAAACTTAAAACAGAAACTGGAGACTCTTCTAGCATTTTCACCATAAGACACTTTACTTATTGTTTTCCCATGTGATGGACATGATCACTTCAAGAAGGGCAAACTAGCTAATTAATCTTAACATCTGTGGTTGTCCTGGATACTTGAAAGTCTGACACTTTACTAATGAGTTGCATACCTCCTTTCATGGTCCCCATTTATTATTTTTCATAAGTGCAGTAAGGCTGGACTATTTCCATTCCCAAAAAGCTGGGCTATATATTTCACCTAAATCTCCTTAGTATTGATGTGTTGTCACAATGATATGACTGCAGCCTTCATACTCAGGCCAATATGTAATAATTTGCACTTCTATAGGGATTAAACTGTACACACATTCAGGCTGAAATTCACCCCTGTGCAGAGGACCAGCCCAAGACCTATGCACCACTTAAGCCTCTGAGATGGGGATAAAGAGGGACTTAATTAGTGCATAGGTCTTGGGCTGGCCCTCTGCCTCAGGGTGAATTTCAGCCTAACAGTTCAGCGTCAGGCCACTCCTGTGTGGCAAGTTATATTAAAATAACTTCCTCCAGTGCTGGGGTAGAACATAGGAGCTGCTTAACAACTCACAGCTGTTAAGGCCAGGGAATGAAGAAGAGTACCATGCTGAACTGAAACTGCTGGGGGCATTTAAGGAGGCAGTATGTAAAGTTAGTGACCTGGAATAGGACTGAGTCAGGACTAGATATGAATGAATATTGCAAATGAGTAAATCACAAACATTCATTTGAATACAACCTGCAAGTCTGCATCCAAAGTATTTGTTGAACCTTTGTATTTGCTTTTCCCCCACATCCGATGCGCAAAGTGTTGTTTGCACAGTCTCAGAGAATGTTGGGTCCTGAGACAACTAATACAGTAGAAAAGACAGTGTACTGCAAGCAGGTTGGAACAAACTGTGACGCTCACATTGTCTCAGTACTCACCACTGCAGTCAGAATCTCTTTACATGAGGGTGGCCTTCTGCATAGCAAAGGTGGGATAGTCTGGTGACTGAGCAGATAACTCACCTGGCTCCTGTCCGGTCAGAAGCTCTTTAAGACTGTCTTTAATATGTTTGTTCAATGCCTAGCATGATGGAGCCTTGGTCTCCAGGCACTGTTGCAATGCAAATAGTAATAATTGCCTTCAGTAAATAAGGATGGAGACAGGAGATGAGCCCTAGACAATGCAAATATAATGAAGTTTTCGCCCCAGAATGGGCTGGTGGGAAATGTTAGAAAAGCAGCAATGAGGGAGCGAACAAAGAGGCAATACTAATATGCAAGTGAGAAAAGGATTGGGGCAGTTGTGGGACAGTTGGAGACATTCCGAAGTTACAAACAGATTCCAAGCTGAGTTTCAAAAAAGCGGGTTTATATCTTCACTATGTTCAGAAAAAGACAACAAGTGTTGGTGACTGAGCCTCGGACTCTATTCCCAGCTCTGGGTCTGACTCACTGATTTCCTGTGGACCCTGGGCAAGTCATGTAGGCCAGCATTTCACAAATGGCCACTCATTTTGGGTGCCCAACTTGAGACACCTTGACCCTAATTTTCATATGTGCTGAGCTGGCACAACTCTGCATGAAGTCAGTGGAAGCTTTGGGGGCTGAGCACTTCTGAAAATCTGGTATCACAAGCTGGGCACCCAAAAACAGAGGCACCAAAAAGCAGTGGGCAGTTCTGAAACTGTTGGCCTTCATCTCTCCTTGCCTCCATTTTCCCATCTGTAAAATGGGTGTGATGATACAAAGGGCAGGTCTACACTTAAAACGCTGCGTCGGCATAGCTGCATTCATGCAGCTACTCTGCTGTAGTGCTTAAGGGAAGATGTTCCTCTGCCAGTGGGAAAGAGATCCCCCGTCGGCAGGTAATCCACCTCCCTGAGAGGCAGTAGCTATGTCGACGGAAGCAGCTCTCCCATCGACATAGCACTGTCTATATGGGGGTTAGGTCGGTATAACTGCGTTGCTCAGGGGTATAGATTTTTCCTATCCTGAAAGACGTAGGAATGCCGATATAGGTCTGTAGTGTAGACTTGGCATCACTGTCCTTTGTAAAGTGCCTTGAGATCCATGGATGAAAAGTGGTATTGAAGTGCTAAGTGACTATTATCCTTAATGAAGATGAATGATCACCACTTCTTCGTGCTCACTGCCAGCTGTTAAATACCTTCTCACCCCACCTCTGCTTTCCTTCCAAAATTCCTTCTGTAGTCTAGTGCAGTGCTGTTTAATCTCATGTTTGTTTATTTCAGGCCTCTTGCTGAGGGCTCCCTAACTGCCTCTGATTCATTTCACGGTTTCATCCAAAGCAACCATCTTAAATGTCAGTTAAATGATTTCCCCTGTTCAAATATTTTCATGGCTCAGAAGCAGAGCATGAAAATATTTTTATAAGGTCAAATCCTGCCATCCTGACTCAGGTAAAACTCCTGGTGAACTCCGGACTGCAAGATTTGGCCTGTAGTCAAAACAACCAGTTCTACAGTGAATATAGCCTGTAGTCAAAACAGCCAGCCTCTACAGTGGAGGCATTCAGCAGTTCTGAATGATGGGGTGTGAAGTCCTTGTAGACTAAGGTCATGTCTACACATACAGCACTGGAATGGCGCTGCTGCAGCGTGTCTGGTGCTCTATGCCAACAGGAGAGCTCTCCCATTGGCATAATAAAATCACCGACATGAGCAGCAGAAGCTATGTCGGTGGGAGAAGCTCTCCTGCTGACATAGCGCTGTCCACACTGGCCCTTCTGTCGGTGTAACTTATGTCACTGGGGGGGGGGGGGTATTCACACACCTGAGCAACGTAAGTTCTGCCGACATAAGGTGTAGTATAGACATAGCCTAAGTGTTGAAGTTTCTCCCACTGGAATGGTTATGTCCCTATATTTTCAATAGGTCTGAGTTTGACTTCTAACCTCAATGTCGAGCTAATCTAGCTATTCTGATTATCCCCATTCCTTGAATGGATACCCCCTACATAGCCAAGGTCCAGTCAAGCCTACTCCTCTGAGGGCATGGAGAGCCCTTAACCACCAGACCCACTGCAGGAAGGAAATAGGAGGATTCAGAAGAATTGAGGAAGGCTGGCTTTTTGTGGATAAGGCACTGAATAAGAGCCTAGGTGATGATTTCCAAGCTCTGTCACAGACTGCCTGTGTGATTTGATAAGATGGGGATAAGAATTCTTCCTTTGTCTGTCTGGTCTATTTAAACTGTAAGGTCTTTGCGGGAGGGACTGGCTCTTACTAGATATGTGAGTGCATAGTGCCTAGCTCAAAGGGACCTCACCTAGCCTCTAGGTGCTATTGTAATACACTAGCAATCATACATGAAGTTTGCTCTGCAGGAGAATCCTGCATCCCAGTAGAAAGGGATTGTTGGGGGAGAGTGAGAACAGGGCCAGTGGATCTGTTACCCGGGTTCTTTCAACCCAAAGCTCTTGGTGACTTTTACTCTGTGCGAGGTAGTGTCAGGAAATAAATCAGGGGAGACACAGCCGTCCGACTGAGAAATGGCTGGCACAAACAGGACAACACAAGAGTGCTTTCACTTAAAGCTAAATTTTACTTGGTCTCAAGCCTTTACATATGTCCACAACAGGTTAGTAAAACACCCCCAACCCTCGATAATTACCGAAGCTCAGTGTGGCTCTCAAGTGGCACAGCGGCAGCCAGTCTGCTGGTGGGGAACACAAGATGCATCCAGAGGGAGAGTCCCTGAAGAGCCCCTTCTGAGAAGTCCTGCTACCTCAAACTTTTCCCCCTTATTTATACATGAGTAATACAATGACATATCCCTTAAAGAAAACTTGCTAAGCAAGCAATTTTTAAAGGTCAAGCAAGAGGTTTCCTTATGATCGTCGGGTAACCAGCTATGGTTTTTTTTTCAGAGTGTCCATGCCTTGGGACCCTGACAGACATATTCCTCAGGGTACATTATAGACACGCTTCCTGTTTTTCTAAAGTACATACATCAGCAATTTCAACATTCTTAGCAGGAAGGTAAGCAATAGTGGTTTCAGGCACTTTACTGGTTTGTCAAAATCTCCCCATACAGATCCACTATTAGACTGGTCATTTTCCTCCTTGTGGAAGGGAAATGCACTGGCCCCAGGTAATGGAGCTCTGATGCTGAAGTAGTGGCTGCAGAGCAGGCTGGGGGAAAGATTCCTGCCCCCCCAACATGTGTCCCACAGAGAGCCCCCATACCCATCCTAGCCACTCAAGCTGCCTGTGGACCAAGGATTTGACTCACAATAGTTGAATGGGGTTTGCTATAACACGGACTAATGGACAAGCAAAGTACTGTCATGGTATTTTGAAGGAAGGTTAATGCCCTTATTTTGTTCTCATGCTGTCTAAACAGGTTACCAGATGTGTAACACAGACAGACCAGCTCAGATCATGGCAATAGAGCAATTCACTTGAGTATGAATACCAAAGAAGGGTAAGTGTATCAATATGTATTCAGATCAATTCGCTTGTGCTGATAGAAATCAAGAGAGAGGTTGATTGTATTATTTTCATTTGTATTGTTTTCATTTGTCTGTATCCTATACTTAATTAGTATTAGATTGAAGTGTGTGTTAGTGTTTAAATGTGAATTGACTTGATATGTAAAGCTGCATGAAAACTAATGAAGAAATGTTTCTGGCTAATGTGTTTACATTATGTATAGCCATTGGAGACTGGAGCCTTTGAAATGTAAATGAAGAAACATGTCGACTTCAAAGCGTTGATCTTTGTGTGTTCAAGAATGATAAATCTATGGACCTGAGCTGTGATGGAAACGCTTGCCAGACTGTTTTCAACTATAAGAAGGAATCCTGGGAGTGATTCTGCAGCTCTGATCTATTTGGATGCTGTAAGGGGGCGTTCCAGATACAAGACAGAGGTCCCACGAGCCATTTTGGTATCCCTGAGAGACTTATGGGAAACTAGTAGATACCACATCACTGCTATCATTTGAACTTACAAACTCTGACTCACCTGTTATGTATTTCACCTGCTTTAACCTCTCAATAACTCCCATTTCTTTTTCTTCGCTAATAAATCTTTAATTAGTTTACTAAAGGATTGGCTATCAGTGTTTTTGGTGTGAGATCCAGAGCATCCATTGACTTGGGGTAAGTGATTGGGCCTTTGGGGCTGAGAGTAATCTAATGTGTGGCGATTTGGTTTTAATAACCTTTCATCACAGAAGTCCAGCTTGTCTGAGTGGCAAGGTGCACTGGAGAGCCTAAGGGGATTGTGAGCGGCTCCATGGTGAGACTAATATGTAATCCAGGAGTGCACATTTGTTACTGGCTTGGTGGACTCTAATTATAGAATATACCATCAGTTTGGGGTGTCTGTCCTGTTTTCTGACAGTCTGACCTAAGATCGGCACACTGAGTTGTGAGCCACGTCAGACACCATGACATTTGTAAATTACGCTTCGTTGTCTACACTGAGTGATGGTGGCACTTATGCTGTGGGATGATCTATGTGGTCCTAGACAGCAAAACTGATACATCACAGTGACAATACCTTGAGTGAGGTAAATTCCTCAGCACTGTCATTAAGGCCTTTGCTGCTTTCTTTTGTCTTGCCATTTTCTTCCCCTAAGTAGTTTGTCTCTCACATTCCAGGGTAAATTTATTTGACATCACATTCTGAAATGGCATCACAGAGATGTGGCCGCTAACATACGCACATGCAAAGAAGGATGTTCTGAGCTAGAAAAATCCTGGAATTAAACCAATAGGGTTCTGTAGAAATTACTGCAAAAACCTATGGAATTTTAAAGAAAATTATGGGGTTGAGCCTGCAAGATGTTGAGCACTCTGGTCCTGATCCAGCAACTTGTGCACTTACGCATGTGCTTACTTTTAACCACACAGTAATCCCCCTGAAGCCAATAGGGCTGCCCACGTGCTTAAAGTTAAGCACATGCTTAAGTGCTCTGCTGGATCAAAGTCAGGGTGCTGACACTGACTCCCGAGGCTCAGGCTGCAGGTTATTAAATTGCAGTGTAGTCATTCGGGTTTGCTCCAGCCCGAGCCTAAATGTCACTGCAATTTTCTAACCCCGCAGCCTAAGCCCCACAAACTCAAGTCAGCTGACCCAGGTCAGCCCGTGTGATGCTGCGGGGCTTTTGCTGCAGTGTAAGCACACCCTAAAGGTCCCCTGCACAGATCAGAGTGTAGGGCTGGGGCTGGGGCCAGAGTTTGTTTTGCTTTTAAGAAAACTGGCTGACAAATTTTAAAATCTCTTTCACACTTCATCAGCTCTGCTGTTTACTTTTTTTTGGTCTTTTTTTCACTCTTCCCCTTAGGCAGGGAAAATGGGCTGGCCAGTCCCACTTTCTGTTTAGTCAGTTTCACTTTGGGACTTTCCTGCCCAGTGGATTTTTCACACCCCGGAGAGTTGTAGGTATGCCGATTGTAAGTTTTCAATGTAGACCTGCCATCATTCTGTGTGTAACCTTGAGCAAGGTACTTCAACTCTCTTTGCCTTAAGTGTCCTTATCTGTATAATGAGACTAATAGACTCACCGTTGTAAAATGCTTTGAGTTCCTTGGATGAAATATGCCAGTGACTGTAAGTTCAGAGTATTATTAGTAACCCGTTCATCTTCTTGGAGACACAGTTGTCCCTTAACAGGGAAGGCTGTCTGCAATCATTACCTGAACTGTGAAATGGAAAAACTGTCTAACCAATGGAAACTAATTTGAATTGGACAGACTACCTAGTGGCTTGTATGTAAATCCTCACTCTGCTTTTTGAATAGCACAGATGAAAAAAGGAAAGTGTGGAAAAAAATGCTTCCTGGCTAGTATTGGAGAACAGTGTGAGAGTTGAGTCTGAATTTAATTCTGAGATCAGTCACAAAGAAAGATTTTGTAACAGTGTTTAACCCAGAGGTGGCTGCATTTCAGAGATCAGGGAAGTGGTCCCTATACAATATATAGGACCTGATCCAAAGCCCATTGCAATCCATGGGAGTCTTTCCTTCGACTTAAACGGGCTGTGGATGGGGCCCAGGATTTGTTTAATTTGACATTTGTGAAGCACTTTGGGATCCACAGTTTCAATATAAATGCCACATAGCTTGCCAAAGTCATCCGTGCTATGGTATTATTCATTTCAGTGGAATTACACCAGGGACTGATTTGAGCCATTAATTTCAAATTGTTTTGTTTATGTCAAGTGCCATCCAAATGAATTAGAGGTCTAGCACACTCATTTCGTACACCATCATAACTCAGGTCAGTGTATATCTGTACGAGTTTCAGGTCAATGTGTTGCTCAATGCTGGTGCCTCACTGAAGAGTGGTATTTGGCTTTGCTCTCCTCAGATGTCAGACAAATACTGTACTGTGGGATTTCTTTGCTGACCAGACAGTTACTACACGGAACAGAGAATCAACCAAGGTGAGTGTGTCTAGCATTCAACAACAGCTCTGATTTAATGGACAGGATAAAAGATCTCTGGCTGATGAAGAGAATGGCATTTGTTTAAATTTTAGGGACTAGATCTCCTGGGTTCCTTCTAGTGGAATAGATTTTTCCTGTTGACCCCAGTACGAAATGGGTTCATTAGATCTGTATGGGGCTACTACAGCCTCATCCCAATTGCTATAATAGCTTAATTACATTTACTCATTGAAAAAGTTTCAATAACTGTTAATGTTTAAAAACAACAACAAGGAGTCCGGTGGCACCTTAAAGACTAACAGAGTTATTTGGGCATAAGCTTTCGTGGGTAAAACACCCACTTCTGGTGCTATTGGACTCCTCGTTGTTTTTGTGGATATAGACTAACACGGCTACCCCCTGAGACTTGTTAATGTTTAAGCTTATTAGGGTAAAATATTTTACTGTAATCCCATTCCTGTGTAACCCTTTGGAAAAGTGAGTACTGTGATAGTTAATCTATTCTGGTTTGCATGTAACCAAGTGACATTTTATCCCAAAAGATCCCATTAGGTTTATTTTGTTGGTATTTTGTATCTAAATTTAAAATGTTTGAAGGTTAGTTAAGAAAAATAAAACCAGATGAATGTTTCCAAAATTATCCCATCAGACTTCTTAAAAAAATATCAAAGGCACTATTCCTCATTGGGGAATAAACCAGATGGAGGGTTTCTAGCTCATCCACTGTTCAGACAGAGTTTGGGGGAAAAATTAAGAAACTCCTCACAAAGCGCTAATCTCATCCTACCTTTTCCAAGATATCCTTTCTGACAAATGCCTGGGCTGACTGCCCCCTGCTTTGAAAAAAGGCCTTTCTGTCATGAGATCAGGGATGAAAAGTTTGGCTTAGTTTTGGTGAAGTTAGCATAGGGGTTAAACGTCAAGTTTAAAATGGAAAGCTAGTTGTACCATTGGCCCTAGACATCTCCCATCTTGTGGTATCAGGAGAGACCCAGCTTGTATACAATTGCCAGGCAAATGCAGCCAACAAATGTATATCTGTTAGTGCCTCTTCCCTATCATGAGTACAAAGGGCATCATAATTGTCTTCCTAACATGGCTAAAATGTGATCCACTGAAACACAGTCCTGCTTCCATATAGATGGAAATGCTGCCTTTAAAATAATCAGTCTCCATTGATCTTTTATTCTTTTTGGCTTCTAAATAGTCAATAATCTTTAGCAGCAACTCCAGTCCACTGCACGAGCAACAGTTTCTGGGACAGATTCTGATATCAGTGATACTGCTCTCAGAGCAGAAGAATTCCATTGTCTCCAAATTTCCCATGACGTAACTGAAGATCTGGTCTCTCTGCGTGATACAGTGGCAAACTTGTGTGCAACATTTGCTCATTTGGAGGGAGACTCCTTCATTTGCAATAAAATTAAGGCTGTTTTTAAAGTCTGAGGAAGGCTTCTGAAGTGTTTGTATCAATGAGACACTTCAAGTCTCAGTCATTATTTTTATTTACAACTCCCATCATTTTAGATTCTCATTCTCTGCAAATACATGCCTCTAGTGAAAATGCAAAGTTAGTGCTTGTTTCCAATTGTTATTGTGCCTTAAAGAAACTTCTGGGTACCATAAGCCAGGATAACATGGTGTGGAAAAAGCACCCTTACCCTGGCTACTTTTATAATTGTCCCAGGCCATTACTAATTACTGAGTATGGACTGCCCTTTTAATGGTTGGTTGCTTTCAAAGGGCACCATTTCTAACCTGTACGCATCCCATTTTTTGACTTAAACGTAGGTTCTGAACCCCGTGGTTCTTAAAGTTCCCACAGCACTGTCTTCTTTTTTGGGTCATTAACCTCTTGGTGACAAATAGGTCAGCAGCTCTAATGTTAGCACCAATGTGTTTTTTTTTCTTTGCCAGGAATGTGGAGTTTCCAAATGTAGGTCCTAAAATTCCTGCCCTGATGCCTGCCAATGAAGATTTAATTTTTCAAAAAAGGAAACTAATGTGGGAACCAGAGAGCAGTGGGCATTGCATCTTTGTTTGAAGAGTCAGCCTGGCCAGAGGCCAGCAAGGCCGTCAATACCCTTGTTCAGCTAAAATAAGGTATTTTACACATAGCTGCAAACTAATCCTGTACCAGAAATTAACTTGGGACATGGAAGAGTGTGTATTCAGCTAGTGGGAGGACTAACTGCACTTGCAAAGGGATAGGAGGGAAGAGCTTAACAAGTGTTTGGCTGAGTGCAATTCCTTCTGTTAGGATAGCCAGCCATCCCTCTACATCCTTGTTGGTTTAACTTTGAATGCTTGGGGTCTGATTCTCCTCTCATTTGCCTCCATTTTACCCCAGTATAATTCCTTTGATTGCAGGGATGTTACTTCTGATTTACACCACTGGCAAGTCGGGTTATCGGGATAATTCTCAAAACCAAAGCAACACTTTGAGAATAAGGAGATGGGCGTGATGACGCAGGAGCAAAGTAAAACCCTTTACAAAGAAGGGGCTTCAGTGAGAGATCAGAAGCAGGGGGCCAATGCCCCCTGGAGCCATTCCACAGCCCCACTGACATCGTCTTCATGAATCACGTGTTTTTCTGGGCCAGAGCTCCCCCCTCATTCCAGAGGATCCCAAAGACCTTTACAAACCCTGTGTATGGTGACCACTTCTCATCCTTTGGGGGAAAGGGGAAGAATGCAACAGCAACACTCAACTACCTCAAGGCCCTTTTAGGTGGGGGAGTGTGAAGAATAATGTGTCATTTTGAAACCCCAGTGATGATGTCATTAGGCAAATATAAATGTCTCAGCTGGGATTAGGTGAGGATGCTGGGGTCAATCCCTTATTCTTGGGGAAAGTGCTGGTGGTCTTAAATGGGCAAGACTTTCATGAAATGCAGGTCCCATTAACTCCCCTTTACTTCAGTGGGACTAGAAGTTCACACCTTTTTTTAAGTCCCATCCAAAAGTCAGCAGGCCTGATTCTCCTCTCACTTATACCTTCAACAGAGCTACTCCCGCTTCACACTCGTGTGAGTGAGAGGGGAATGAGGCTCTGCACCTCCAACAAGACAATTCTCACTACTAGTCCCATCCACTGATTTCTCAGTAGCTCACAGAGAAAGTGCCACCCCATCAGTCACCAGTGCAGCCACCTGGGTTTTATATACAGTCTGCTATGCTCTTTCAACAGATCTCCTTTCCAAACCACACAAATGGCGAGTGATTCCCTGGTGACGATCCCCGATTATAACTCCAATGCCACCTCTTTTACTGGTTACTGCAAGTCTTCGTTCAGCACCATCCACCCCATTTGCAACATGTACCAAGAGCTGTAAAGTAAACTTTCTCCTAATGACAGATGGGGCAGGGAGGGGAAGTAATTAGTTATTCCAACATTTTGTTCTTTTTGGGAAATGTCAAATACATAAAACAGAAGGAAACAAGGTTTCTTCATAAAGTGCACTCTCCGTCCACTCCAAGAATTACTCAGCAGAGGGATGCAGATCCCAGTTCTGATTCAATATGTCTGCCAACAACCCCCTCCCAAAAGACTGGTGTCTCACGACATTGGTGATCTCCGCTATCAAAATGGACTTTTCCGCGGCATTTCTGTGGCTCCTTTTAGCTAAGTCTCTCCCTCTGCTTGGGGTTCGGCTGGGGAAGGGTCAGTGTTGGCTGGTATATGTTGTTCTGTCCTCCCCCTTGGCCTGTACGGGACCAAACTGCCCTCAGGCTCACTAGTGATCTGTGCATAATCTCTCCTTGCTTGCTCTCAGTAAGCAGATCCAACATTTCCCTGGAGTAGTGTGGGAGGTGTTATTAGTGAAAGGAGAAAATGTCATGAAATTGGCAAAACCCAAATCCTTTCTCAAATGAAACTCTTGTCTAGTTAATCTGTGGCGCTCTGTCCAGCTCTCCCTCTCCTGCTTCTGAGGAGCCTGACCTTAAGAACAGAGCCTCATTCGGCTGTGGGTGGAGATTAAAGGGCCGAAGTTTAAAACTGGTCTTGGTTTCTATGGCTGTGGGTGCAAGTCTCAGCATTTGCAAATCAATCCCTCTGCCACCTCCTGGCGGCACCTGCAGATTGGGGTATGGAAATGGTGGCATTTGTGCCAGCTGTAATAATGGAGCAGTCAGCTGGCAAAGGGGCCTTTTGGGATCAGAGGATTCTGTCCCACCTTGGCAATGAGAGTGGGGGCAGCGTAGCCCCTACCGCTCACCCAGTCTCCCCCTCCACAAGCACTATATCTGGGATCCATCCAGTCTCCCTTTCCCCCTCACCAGACAGCCCCACGTTTCCTGCATGCAAGATTGTGGGGACCCGGATCCATGAAGGCACAATCAGAAGGGGCACAAAGAGCTTATTTGCATGAACTTGCCACCATGGAGTGGCTGAACATCTGCTTCACATCCTTCACTGCACCAGTTTGAGTGTCCTCTGAGTTAGCAGGAGAGATTCCCCTACATGACAACAAAGGAGAGCCAGCTGACTGGCCTCAGGATTTGGTCCAATACTAGCGAAGCAGCATATAGGCTCCTGAGGGCCAACTTCTCCCCGGCTCACTATCACAACTCCCATGGAGATTAAAGGGAATCACACTGCTGTGCTGGAGGAGAATCTGGTCCAGATGAAGGGCTGTGTCAGGAAGAGAGCAAAGGATAAAGGCAGAGCAAAGAGTGAAGAAAGCACAATAATTCTGCTGTGGGATCAGGATAGGGTTACCAATAGCAACTGTGAAAAAACGGGACGGGGGTTGGGAGTAATAGGTGCCTATATAAGAAAAAGTCCCAAAAAACAGGACTGTCCCTTTAAAAACGGGACATCTGGTCACCCTAGATCAGGAGCCAACCTTCCCCCCCCCATCCAGGTTTTTGTATTGTTCTCTAAAGGCAAACCCCTCTCCAATACCCCCTGGAGTTCTCCAAGAAGTGCCAGAGAAGTAATTCCCATCCGGCAGGTTTAATGTTCCAGAGCCCACTAGGTTTAATCTGACTACCTGCTTCAGGTCTGATTCAGCAGGCTGTGGAAATGGGTAACTAATGTTTATTCCTGGGCCACAGCTTCACCTTTGCTGGTTGTAATTACTCTCTAGACATTTCAGTTCAAGCTGCTTATTATTATGATCTGCACAGAATGTAAAAACATCTTTGCATTTTTTAAAGGAAAAATAAATAATCATGCAGCATTTGCTGAAGCATGGAAGCAGAATTGAACCATGGGCCAGATTCATCCCTGGTGAAAAGCCATTGACTTCAGTGAGAATTGTGGGTGTGCCACGTCCCTGAAAATTTGGCTACTTATTTAGGCACCTAAATCTGGATTTAGCTGCCTACCTTTAGGGAATTGGATTTGAAAATGTTGGCCTAAATGATTTGCCTAAAGGCACAGAGTTAGTCAGTGGTCGAGCTGGGAATAGACCCTCTAACTCCCAGTCCCATGCTAAATGCTACACCAAGCACTCCACCTTCTCAGAATGAGCCGAATCTTGTGAATCTGCAGTATTGGGTTGGAAATCTTGTGAGAGGAAGCACCCTCTTGAGATTGCCAGCCCTTCCAATTCTAGAGGAGGGAGGAAACATGTGCAGGTGTGTGCACGCATGCACAGGTTCCCACTCTAACACGCCCCCCGGTAGTGGAGCAAGGGGTAGAACACATGAATGTGTTCATACTGTGATGGTGTGTTTACTCAGACTAGGAGCGTATGCACATGTGCATGTCTGTGTGAATGTACATGCTGAGTGATTGTGTGCTCAGGGTGAGAGCTTGTGTGCACTCCCAACCCATATTTGACTGCGTGTGTACATGTGCATAAGTGTGTGTGAGTGTGTAAGGCAGTCACGGTTCTCTTCCCATCTGTCAGGGAGGGAGACTACACCCTCTTGCTGCAATGCTCCTGGAGTGACTCTGTTCAGGGGGGAATTACCCGACTGTTGATAGGCCCAAGCCTGCAGTCCAGGCTGGGCAGCAATTGAGTCTGTGAGCCCCCGGCCCTCAGCCAGAGCGGGGCAGCACACAGTTAATGGTTCTGGCCCGCAGTCGGGCAGTATAGCAGTAAGTCGATAGGCCTGGAGCCCTCAATCAGAGTGGGACCGTAATCAGTTAAGGGCTCTGGCCTGCAGTCAGGCAGAGCAACACAGCAGTCTAGCGGGGATTAGCTCTCTCCATCTGGCGTCCTAGCTCAGGCAGGTGTCAGACCAATGCAGGCCTCCTGGCCTAAAGGTGGGGAGGCTGCCACCCCCAAGGGTGGGGCAGCAGGGGGAGGCGGATGCAGGCCCACCTGCTCCACTGCATCCCAGCCCAAGGCCCTAACAGTGGCGGAGTGGTCCACCACTGGGTCAGCGGGGAAATCTGGCCGCAACACACTGGCTGGCCTGCAGTCAGTAACACGGCTGAACCCTATTCAGCTTCCATGGGCTCCTTCCTACACTCCCAGTCAGGGGATACCTGGGTTCTGAGGTTGTTGTCAGTCTCATTCAGGTAAACAGCTAGTGGCAGCCCCAACAACGCCTCGGTGTCCTTGGTGTCTGGCAGCTCTGGCAGTCCCTCTGGGTCTCTGGCACTGTAGCAGCCTCCATCAGGTCCGGGCTGCAGCAGTGGGAGAGAGACGTCCTGCTCCTCTGGCAGCTCTGTCCCAACTGAGCTGGAGGGCCGGCCTTTTATATTTCCAGTTACTGCCCCGCTCCTCTGCTTCCGGCAGAGCAGCTGTGGGTGTCCCGGTTCTGCCCACCAAGGGGTGGTTGCGGTTCTCTCCCTGTCCGTCAGGGAGGGAGACCATGCCCCCTCGCTACAGGGTGTATGTGTTGTTATTTCCATAGAGGTTTTGGTTATTTCCATCTCTGGTTTTTCAGGGAAAAGCAGTGACTTTCCCTGCTTGAACCAGAAAATGGATTTCACTCAAGATGGGGAAGATGTTCTTTTACATTTGCTTTTACATTTAAGGGCTGGTGGTTTTCAATGAGTGCTGTAGTCCAAGCTGTCTTTCAGGGTCAGAGGTCCGTTGGCCTTTGCAATTTGTTGCTTGGCAATGAGAAGTACTGTATACAGAAAAGAGTACACTGTTGTTCAGCAACCTCATTTAAGGACATTTTCATAGCTTTAGTACCTTAGTTTTCAAAATTATTAATAATCACCCATGAGCTGCCAGTTTATTAAAATCTGTTGTGCTGAGTCAAATCTGGACATTTTTCCTTTCACAGACCTAAGAGAGTGTGAGGAATATCTGTTCTTTTTGGTGTGTGTGCTTTATTACAAATATTTTGGTAAATCCTTAAAACGTATTATGCCACAGGCCCTCAGATGTATGTAACAATAGATTCCTACATGGATTCTTGGTGCTTTATTTTTAATTAAATGCATTAAATGTTCATCTCCCACTGTGGGATCTAAAATTATAAACCAAATCTTCCTAAGTTCCTCCCCCTCCCCCTTTTTCTTTCCCTCCAAAAGCAGAGGCCACTCATTACAGAGAATGGAAACTTTGACAACATTTCCTGTGATTTCCTGTTCAGCTCATCCCTAAAAAGGTACTGTGGATTATCTCAGCCATGTCATGTAATATATATCCATCGTATTTCACAAAAGCAGAGAGAGCCAAGCAGCGGTGAAAAAAACCTCACATGACATGTTGCAGACTCTAAAAAAAAACAGCTTGCCTTTTTCCTGCCATAATAAAAATTATCTAAAACAAATGCAAAGCTGTCCAATTATGGTTACGTGGTCACAGTCCAATGGAATAATTGTGACCAATGACCAAGAAAAACCTTTCCAGACACTGAAATAGTATTTGAACAGTTGGCATTTTAAACCCTCTTCCAGGCCCTTTTGTGCAACATTTAGTAGCCTTAGAAATAATGAATGAGATATATTCCATTTGCATCCTTTTTTTAATAAAATTAAAAATATGCATGGTTTATTGTGTTTTTGTAATGCTCTTTGGAAGGTCTGTGCAAAAAAGGAAATCTTAATGCTGACTCATAGGACACACCACAGATATACAGCTGTACACATATTATTAATAGTAAGTAGGAACTATGGGTCAACTTGCTAATCTATTGCAGAACAGTAAAATGTGTTTATGACACACACACATACTACAGATCTAGGCCTGATTCTTCTCTCACATTAGGCTAAATAAGGAACAACTCTACAGAACTCAACGGAATTACATGAGCATAAAACCACACACATACGCACACATTTTAGAATGTTACCTAATGGAACAATGAAGGTACCCCCTGCATGAATGTATTGTGCCAAACAGAACAGTAATGTCTCAGATCTATGATGGGTGTCTAAGCCTAGCGCAAAATTTCTTTTTCCCTGTCTTGCTGCATGTGTGTCTATACATAATTTCTATTCTTTAGCCCTTGTCTAATACCTTTCATCCAGAGATATCAAAGCACTTGAGCTCTTTCAGAGTCTGCCAACCCCCTGCTACAAGAGCTATAACACATCATCCATCCCCATGTTCTTAGAATACTACTACTACTACTTTGCACATAGCTTGTTTCATCCAAGAATCTCACAGTATGTGACAAACGTCAAGTGATATAGAGCCATAAACACCCCTGTGAGGCAAAGTAGATATTATTATACCTGTTTCACAGACAGGTAAACTAAGGCAGAAAGATATTTAAAAAAATAACATCCCCCAGATCATGCAGCAAGTCAGCAGTGGGGCCAAGAATAGAACCTAGAAATCCTTGCATCAGATTCTCCGCTTCACTGAGCTTCTACTTGGCACAGGAGAGAGGGGGAGGGCTCTCAAATAGCTACAACTGATTCCTTGAGTCTCACCATGATTCTACACTGAGCTGAGTCCTAGTGTAGGTTAGTGGAGCCTAGAGGCAGCTCTAAATTCTAACAGCTATTTAGGTACTGAAGCCAATGGGAGTTAGGTACCGAAATACCTTTGACGATCTGGGCTGATACGCCTGCTGAACTGGAGCACAATGTTCCAGCCACGCCCTCTTCCCACCTCAATATTCTCCCCATGCTGGGAGCCAAATACATGTATGAGGGGGAAGATGTTGGCCCGGTCATCTGGTAAGCCAGCTATGACCCAGCTGAGAGCTGTCCCATGCCAAAGAAATTCTCAGCTGGCCAGAGGTGTCTGCTTTCTGATCCCTTTGAGCCACTGAAACAATGCAAAAGACTGGAGTACAATTGAATAACATTCTAGATCCTTATTCCCATTTCTTAGTGTCACCCACCAACCCACTCTACCTCCCTGGAATGATCAGAAGTGTATCATTCTTGTGACAGGAACACTCATGCTTCATGAAGAGTTGCCAACCCTCAACGTTAGTTTTGGCTTGTATTTCCTGTTAGGTCATGTGTGGTTTTTTTTTTTTTTTGATAATAAAATATTAGCTAAATTCATTCTCAGTTACAGTGAGGTAAATGTGGAGTAAGTCTGTTGATTTCTGTGGAATTACTCCACATTTATTTACATACTCATATTTCCTATTGTTGTATAACTGGACTTTCTGCTGGGAAGAATCAACAAAGTAATATCTGCCACTGGGCGGCTGTAAACACCGTTCCTGGTTGCAGAGATAGATAAATAGTGACAGCACAGTCATTTTTAACACACAGTGAAAACTTTAAGTAATCACTCAAGAGACTTGCAGAGATTGGTTATTTAACTGAGCTAGATCTTGTAACAAAAGTGGGACAGAATTCCATTAGGAATGAGGATACTGTACTTTGGGATTGTTGTTATTATTATTAGACAGGATGATATATAAATAGACGGGGGGAGGGTTGTATCAGTTTTGCTGACCTTTACAGTGTAGTCTTCTTTAGAACATACTGTATGTATAATTCACTGATCACTGCACTGTACATAAAATACTACAATATCATTACCTTTGAGAATCATGAAATTTCTCTTCCTAAAATATTCCCATCCTCTGTCAGTGGGAGTCTTTTACACACCTTCAACTCTATGGCCTGCTTTCATTATTTTTCTCCACTCTGTTTCCTGAATATATAGGGTTGGGGTCTGCAAACCTTTCTTCAGGTGAGTAGTCCTGTTAATTTCAATGGCAATGTTTCATGTGAGTAAGGACTATTTCCATGAGTAACGGTTTGTAGGTTCAGGTGCTTTTATATTATCCTCTCAGTTTATTCAGTGTCTCCCCTGCGGTACAATGATTTTATTTGGAAGCAGTGGGTATAAACTTAGATGTGAAGGATTTGGACCCCGGTCCTACTTCCACTGAAGTCAATGGTAGGTTTGCCACTGACTTAGGCCTTTTATGGTTGTTTAAGAATTTTACTTTTACTATATTTAGATTGTAAGCTCTTTGGAACAGAGAATGTCTTTTTAGTCTGTGTTTGTGCAGCACCAAGCACAATGGGGTTCTGGTCCATGATTGGGGCTCTTATGTACTACAGTAACAAAATAATAAATAAAATAAAATAATAATAGAACTGATCATCCATCTTATGAAAGAAATATCATTTCCCCACCCCTTCATGTTTTTACATAGCAAGAATATGACTCCATAGGACCAAATAGTCTACCTTTGTGAACTGGTTAGATTTGTGATTGCCACATAGTCTAACCGATGTACAGAATAGGCCTATCTTCCACAGATTACTTGATGGGAAAACTAGTGCACTGAACTTTACCTGCTCTTCATTATATAATGATGGCCACTATGTGGTTCCAGGGCTGGAAACTATAATTTCCTTGCCTTATCTAAACATCATGAAAAGTGATTTGTATCTAAGAGGATTTTTTCTTTTCTTTCAATTTTTATTAACCACTCCCTGTATGATTAAAAGAGTGATGTATGTAATGTATGCAGAAGAAATTTAGATCTGGAAGTCAGATTTTCTGACTCTTTAAAATAATATTACAGTACTCTTAGGCTGTCTACATTGGGGATTTTTGTATAAATGTAGCTGCACTAATGCAAACTCGCAGTGTAGATGTGCTGCATGGGTGTAAGATGGGGCTTGCACTCATGTGACTTACCCTGGTCACTTATCCTGGGGTAGGTCACACAGAAACAAGCCGCATTTTGCACCAGAGGAGTGGGTCTGCATTAGAGCTTTCTACTAGTGTAGGTACACTAATATGGTTACACTCGGGCAAAATCCTTAGTCTAAATAAGCCCTAAGTAGTAGTCTAAAATATGCACACACAGCTATATGGATACATAGCAACACACATGTGAACATGCCATTGCACAATACTTCAGAATTTTTAAAGGGGAACACTTATAAATCTTCATGCATTTCTGAATTTATGATTAAGATCAAATTTTACAAACACACACACACACAGTCAGATCCTGCAAACTCTTACGCCGGAGTAACTTTACTCACATTGAACTCAATGTATCTGCTTATGTGAGTAATATTACCCACATGCTTAAGTCCTTGAAAGACTAGGTCCCTCTGAGCTCAGACACTGCAGAAAAAGTTGCTCTTTTTGTGGAACGATTCTAATACTCTCTTTTCCTGCACAGAGCTAATTAAAATTTCTTGGAATAGAAAAACAAAAATGTGCTCGCTCTGTCTATCTGTGTGTCTGTGAGACTGGCAATTCACATCTCCTTCTGCAGGTTCAGAGAACTTTCTGCCCCCTGTTCACTCCAGAGGCTATGTCTTTATTGCAAAAAAGAGGTATGGTTTTACATCGAGATAGCTATCTCAGTATAAAATCCTAGCAGAGACAAGTCATGGGTTGTTTTTACCTCAGTGTAGCTAGTTGAGGTCAACCCTATAACCACCAGCCAGCATTATCTGAGCTACACAAGGGTAAAAACTGCAGTGCCTTGCCTCCACTATGGATTTTATATTGAGATAGCCATCTCAACTTAGCTATCTTGATTTTAAATATCATCCCTTTTCATAGCCAAGAGCCCATTCTTGCTGCCAAATGGGAGTTGTGCATAAGCCCTGCAGGAGCTGAGTATGGGATAGCTGTATCACATAGCTCCCATCAGGAAGGACAGCCTTCCTTCTAGACCCACATTTTGGATGCTATCCTACAGAAATACAGGGGGCAGATCCTAAGCTAAGTGAAGTTACTACAGAGCTATGACAGTTTACATCAGCTGAGGATCTACCCTAAGGATCCCGATTCTCCATTGCCCTGCATCTTTAGTCATTTCCACCAGGGCAAACAGGGCCGGCTTTAGGAAGTGCGGGGCCCGATTCGAACAGTTTCGACGGGGCCCCGGCAGGGATGACTAAAAAAAAAAAACACATAAAACAAAACACGTGGGGCTTGTACTCACCGGGCGGCGCTCCTAGTCTTCGGCGGTGGGTCCTTCACTCGCTCCGGGTCTTCGACGGCACTGAAGGACCTGCTGCCGAAGTACTGCCGAAGACCCGGAGCGAGTGAAGGACCTGCCGCTGAAGTGCCGCCGAAGACTTGGAGTGCCGCCGGCTGAGTAAAAATTAAAAAAGGAGCCTCTAGCCAGGTAAGGGATTCTCGGCCACTTGCCCCCACCCCGGCAGCCCTGCCACTGGGTGCGGGGCCCTCTTAGGCGCGGGGCCCGATTCGGGGGAATTGGTGGAATTGGCCTAAAGCCGGCCCTGAGGGCAAAGTAGGTAGTAAAACACTACCCCGTCGGAAAGGTAGCCGTTTGCACCCTCTTTGAACGGATGCAAATGACCAAAAAGGGGCAGGGCAGAGGAGAATCCAGTCCAAGTCATGTCCTCACTTTGGGAGAAATGCACCCCTGTGCAGAAGGACACTACAAGACAAGCCTAGGCACCACTTAAGGCTTCAAAACAGGATGTAAGTGGGACTAAAATAGTCTTAAACACACTGGCCATGCCAGAGGTGCATTTAACCCCCCCTCCCCCCAAGTACTGTACTGAAAGCTAAGGTTATAAAATATGATACTTAGGTT